CAGCCTACAGAGTTGCCCCTACATGGCCCCATGGGAGTCTGACAACCAATCAGAATACAAGCTCAAGATCAAAGGCCAGAGAGGGCATAAAACCAGGGACTCAGCATCTCAGCCTCCCTTCTCTTTTTCTCTACCAACATTGAAGCATGTGATCCCCTTTTCTGTTCAGGACTCAAGCCATGTGGTCCTGTCCACCATTAAAATCATCTTTCCAAGCAGCCTCCATGTCCCCAGTGTCTTTTTCCCCACTTGGAGCCGAACTCAGAAGGACATTTCTTTCATCAAGAGCACTGGGTTATTCCTAAGATTATTTGCCTGCAACCAAGAACTGATGGGATCACAAAATAGTAGAAAACGAAGAAGCTAAATTGCTCTAGGACTTTAGCATTAAAACAAACAAGTACTTGCCGCCCCAGACTTAACTTTGGATAAGAAAGACAAGAAAGTCTGGATAGTACATAGTGCAGCTCCCGGAGACAGCAGAAGAGAAGAGAAAGAACTGGAGAATATCACAAAATATTAAGACCTGCAAATGGAAGTAAAAAGGCTGTGGCAAAAGAAAGCAAAAATGGTATCAATTGTAATAGGGGTTTGGGGCAAAATGCCAAACCATCTGGAGCACCACATGAACATCATTGGCACTAACAAAATCACCTCCAATCAATTCCAAAAGGCAGCTTTACTTAGAAAAAGCTTACATCCAGAGACAATACCTTTTAACGCCACCCAAGAACAACATCTGCCCATCTCAGGTCATGGAAGGACTCAGTAGGTGGATAAAAATATGAAATCCAGTCTAAACATCTGGATGACTATGTGACCAACCATAATTAAAATATTTTTACTACAATGCAGTTATACAATGTACATCTGTATTGCTATTCTATCAAATTTAATCTCAGTTGAAACAACTTCACACATTTCTTTCCATTTCCAGAAAATATATAGCTACTGTGTAAATTATCCGAAATGCATAAATCACTGTCCTGTAATCCAGAACAGAAACAAAAGCAGTTTCTCCTAAAAAAAAATATTTAGAATCATTGTTATTCAAACTATCGTTTTATTATGTTTTATTTACAAGCTATAGTAAATGCTAAAATCTTAATTTCAATTACCTTGTGATCTATCTAGATAAATTCTGAATCTAGTCTGGAGAAAAAAAAGATTATGAGACCATTTGTCATAACACCTCCACTTAAATCTTGAAATTCATGTTTTTAATTAATTATTCAAAGCAGCATATTGTAATAAGAACATAAATCATAAATCTGTTGAATCATATTAATAATGCTTCTAGTCTATTCTATCTCTATCCTATTGGGTCAGATGTAAGCAACCTAAATTCTGAGGTTATTCCACAGTAGGAAATGATCTAAGTGCTTTTTCAATATCATACATAGTTTTATTATCTTCTTTTAACAACTGCAGATAACTAAAACCAACAGCACAGGAATGGTCTTCAACAGATCAATGCCTTACACAGTTTGTAATAAAGACAATTCACCTTCAAGATTCAAGAAGGGATAAAGCAAAATATTCCAATAAATGATAACAGAAACAAGCATCATTCAGAATTAAATTCAAGAAGCAAGGTTTCTCCCTACATAGCCTAAATGTAAAGATTTGTGGTTAAGTGTTCAAAAGTATTCAGCCAGTGAAGTTCACTCTCTAATTCTTCATTAATCACTGCCTTGTATTGAAATGAACCAAGTTCAGATGAAATCACCTATGTGCTGACTAGCACATCACTCTATGAGTCATTGTTTTGGACCAAGAACATTTCCAGAGATGCTCTATTGCAGGGCTGTCAAACCTGCATCATCATGGCAGCATCATGTGACATATTGTGACTTTTTTCTCCTTCATTAAACTGGGCGTGGCCATGGCCAGCAGGTAACACACCTGGCCCACGGGCCAGGAGTTTGACACCCCTGCTCTATTGGGACCATGTGTTTCTATGACAGCTATGATAGCAAGTTAAGAGGCAGATGAGATTGCTCAGTATAATATTGTACCCTCATGGTATCAAGAGAAACTTGGAAGAATGAATTCATCCACATGCAGAACTATGACACAAATAGCAGTCTTTAGCAGAGAGTGGTTGCAAAGAATGCACCCAGGCAGGAACATTAGACAGTCTATGCTACAGATAGTATTTTGAACTCAGATGCCTTCTATTTATTGCACGACAATAAACACATAATCATATACCATCTTATTGCAAGACTGACCCTCATATTAAATATCAACTAATGTGCAATATCAACATAAAACAAAATTAATAGAAATATAATTTGCAAAATATTTGAAAAATATAGCCATTATTTTCTGCATTAGCTTTATCCCCATCTCCACAGTTATTTTCACATATGGGCACCAACCATGGGAATGATTTAGATAAATAATTGAAAGAGATTCAGAAGAGAGCAGTGAAGATCACAGAGTTAGAAACTAAGTTCCATGGTATGAGCTCTGTTCTTCAAAATGATATTCAACAAAGCAAAGATAAATGATTATCTTTATTTCCACTTAAAAGAGGTCATTTACATTGTGCCACAATAAGAGTTTAGCCTCCTCTATAACCACTGCAGTTCAAACTCAGTGCTTGCTCTGGGTATTACATTATTTTATTTACAAAATTCCTTAATAAAACAAAGCCACCACTGACTTTTACAAGTAACAGGAGACAAGGAGAACTTGAAGGCCTAACTGAACAATATAGTCCATGTTTGAATGGAATATAATCTCTGTGCAGATTTGACCAGCGAATAATATTTTCTAGAGATCGTGATACATAACTAACTCAATGAGCTATATGATGAACACTCAAATCTCAGGAAGGATCTTCAGTCCATCTAAAGTTATATGGAAATGTTAGACTCAACTAAAACAATGATATGCCAAAACACCAGGAGAAAATCAAAGTATGATTGAGAAATTAATGTGCTAGAAATCAAGACAAGAAAACCTAGACATAGTTTCCAAATTGTCGTCTAAACTATAAAAATGTTCCATGACAAAACTGATGAAAACCAGCTGTTTATAATCCAATACTTTTATGTCATAAAATAAGAGATGAAAAGGAACACTGTGACAAGTGTGTGAAGTGTGTAAGGATACCTGTGCTAATCAATGCTGTGTCCTTCTAATTAGTTGTGCTGGAACGGAGGAATATATTAACAGAACAACTGTATTCAAGCTTTAATTCAATAAACTGATGCCATTGTGATGACTGTGCCCACTGGGAACAAAGATTTTTGCTCTCACACTAACCAGCAATAATGCTAACACACCGGATCCACTAAGACCAACGAGTAGACCAAAGTCTTCTTCGACCTGAAGTCAAGTCCAAATAATTGTACTGCATTGACATAACCATGTATTTTTCTGGGCAATAACATGGAAATGTTTTCCCATTGTCTTCTTCTGAGAAATCGTTTCAACTTCCCTATCTAGCATACATCCCTGGGATTTCCTGGTGGTCTCTCTCACCCAAATGTCTCCCTCCACTTAGCTTTTCAGGATCAACCAAGGTCAGCCAGCAATATGAAAATGAGAACAGTTACCACCGGTAGAGATCAGTGGTGGGTTCCGGGAAGTATGGCCTGGTACAGCCGTACCGGTAGTAGCCGGGAGCAACGACCACCATACTGGTATGGTGGCTCGTTTGGTCCACCCGCCTGCCCACATTCCATAGCTGTTTATAATGCAAACGGGCCAATTGCGCATGCGCGCACAGCTTGCGATGTCTGCACAACCTCTGCCAAGCAGCTGGGTGTTGCAGGGCGGTGGCGTGCGCAGCACACATGCCCGACTAGGACGCCCAGTCCCATGCACAGTGTACCAGTTGTGACAGCATGCGATCCTTATGCCACTCTCTTTAAGCAGGAAAAGGCCCAATTAACAAAGCCACGCATCTAGGAAAAAATCCCCCCTCCCCAATTCAATATTCCTACCTCAAATTCTTCTAAAAAACTGTGGAAGCTGATTTGCAGTATATAATTGCTTCCATTAGAAAAAGAAATATTGAGTTGCTAAATAAAATAATCTTTTAATACTAAAATGGTATTATTTATTTATTTTAGGAAATTTGTATTGCTGCCTATTTGCACATGGTGACTCAAAGGCGGCTTACAGGAATATAAAAAACTTCACATATAAAACAATAATTGAATAAAAGAAAAAAATCACATAATAAATTAATAAAATAATATAATAACCCCCCACCCCACCCTGGCGACGACACATCACACGGGCTCTAATGGGCTCCATCCCGCTCTGTGTTCCCCAGGCCTGTTGGCAGAACCAGGTCTTCAGGGCCTTCCTTTATTCTTTTATTACCCCACTTTTATTGTTTTTATAAATAATTCAAGGTGGCAAACACTCACAATACTTCTTCCTTCAATTTCCCCCACAACAATCCTGTGAGGTGGAGTTGGACTAAAGAAAGTGACCGAGCCAAGGTCATCCAGCTGGTTTTCATGCCTAAGGACTAGAACTCACAGACTCCTGGCTTCTAGCCTGGTACCTTAACCACTAGACCTGGGGTCAGCAACCTTAAATACTCAAAGAGCCACCAAGATCCTAACTGGAAGCCCCCGTTCAATTCTGGAGGCCACCGGAAGTCCAGTTCCCCCATCATAGTCTCCTCCTAGCATGGCATCCTTTTTTGTCTGCCGGCTGGAAGTCTGGTTCCCTCACCATAGAATCTTCTCCTAGCATGGCATCCTTTTCCCTTTAACCAACTGGCAACAGGGAGCCGCAGCAGAGGGATGAAAGAGCCACATGTGGCTCCAGAGCTGCGGATTGCTGACCCCTGCACTAGACCACACTATATTCATCTCTCATATTTTCAATCTAGTCTACTCATAATGCCACAATTCCTGGCTAAATCTTCATTCATCCAAGCAAGCCAGTCGTTTTATTGGTGCAACATGTGTTGTATCATTAATTCAAGGAAGTGACACAGTCAGGTAGACATCTGAGATACGACTTACCTTGTGGCTTGGAGTTTGAAGCTGGCCACGGAAAACACTTAACTGGATCGCTTCCATTTACTCCTTGAACCACTTCATTGCAGGTGCTTGGCTTGTACAGCCGAATTGTACTGTCTAAAGAGCAGGTTGGAGCGACTAAGATCTTTGGACACCTACTGCCACCTGCAAATAGAAAAAGCCGGTGTAAATATAGCTGAGTATAAAGACCATTTTCTTGATACATTTGCGCAAACCAAATGTGCAACTGGGTAAGTGTGTTTTCTATTCAGGGATGTCCATAGCAAAGTGTTCATCCTCATCCTCATCATTATTCTCCCTTGCCTAAACATTCTGCAATGAGCAAAAAATACAGAACTACCAGCGGAAGTTTATTCACTTATGAATTTATGACACCAGTACAAGATTAGCACTGTTAACAGTTATGCCTTCAAATTCCAGTAATCAATATTATGTTGATACAATGCCAAAAAAAACCCCAGTCTTCATTTTGTCCTAAATACCTAAATGCATAACTAAAAGTCACCAATTCCAAATTTAATTGCTTATATCCTAAACTATTCACTTCCTTCCGCCTCAACGCCAAAGCCACACATAACAACTTGCAAAGGTTTCAGACAGCAAGCCAAGGAACCATTACCTCAGTTCAGTCAAGGGAATATTGTATATTTGGCAGGGTTAAAATTATTTAAGGAGGAGGACTTAATTTTTTTAAGAAGTCCGAATGACTGCCAGTTATTAAGGAAAAAACAAAACACAAACACAGCTGTAAAAGCAGAGATGAGACTTGCCATGTGGCGTTGTGGGACTACAGCTGCAGAATCTGGCTAATGAAAGTCACAAAAGGCCAGGGCAGTGTGTACCTCATATTTCCTAGCAGTGACATCAAAAAAACAAAAAGTGTCATGTCAATAATTATGAGTTAATAATAAAAACTGAACAGGCAGCAGGCAGATTACGAAATGTTAGTCATATTGAAATTGGAACCTCAAAATGTAAGGAAGTTATTCACAAAGAAAATATTACCCTGACTAAACCATGTTTAAACTGGTAATAGTGAAAGGCATGTAGAACGGGAAGGGAAGGGAAAGGAAGAGAGGGGAGGGAAAGGAAATGGAAGGGAAGGGAAAGGAAGAGAGGGGAGGGAAAAGAAATGGAAGGCAAAGGAAGAGAGAGGAGGGGAGGGAAAGGAAATGGAAGAGAAGGGAAAGGAAGAGTGGGGATGGATAAGAAATGGAAGGGAAGGAAAAGGAAGGGAGGGGAGGGAAAGGAAATGGAATGAAAGGGAAAGGAAGAGAGGGGAGGGGAAGGAAATGGAAGGGAAGAGAAAGGAAGAGAGGGGAGGGGAGGGAAAGGAAATGGAAGGGAAGGGAAAGGAAGAGAGAGGAGGGGAGGCAAAGAAAATGGAAGCGAAGGGAAAGGAAGAGAGGGGAAGGAAAGGGGGAAAGGGAAAGGAAAGGGGGAAAGGGAAAGGAAAGGAAGAGCGGGAAAGGGAAGGAAGGGAAAGAAAAGAAAAGGGAAAGGAAGAAAGGAGAGGGAAAAGGAGGGGAGGGATCTATTTTAAATTCCAAGCTATAAAAAAGGTAGAAGTAGAAATAGATATTTTCCTATTCTGCATCAATAATGCACAATTTTTCTCTTTAAACACTACTGTGATTTTGTTTTAATTTAGTATTTTGATAGATACTACCTGATAGACCCTTTGCCAGGGGGAAAAAAGCTATATCAGTCTAGCAGATTTATCTTAAGGGGATAATTAACACAAAATGCTTTAAGCACATTTTTGGAGCCTCCTTGTTTTCCTTAATTTATGAGTTTGGTGCTGGAATTTTACTCTGTTAAAATTAGGAAAAGGAAGGATACTAAATGTCCTGGAAATGAGTAGAAAGGAGACATATTGTGCCTGTGCCTTTTGTTGGCATCCACAAGGAGAAGTGGGCAGAAACAGCAGTCCACTAACCCAATTCTAAACTCCCGTTTCTAAAAATATTAGCTTCCTAGTTCTAGTATGTGTCTTTACTGTAAAAAGCATTTCCTTTATTTTCTTAATGGTATGCAAAGTCTTGTCAGGAAAGCTCTTCAAACGTATAGATGTGTTAAATGTAAATTCTACGGATTCTGAACAGGAGAATGATGACATTTCTAATGAGAAGTGCATTGCTAGAGCTTTAAAAAAAAATTCAGCAGATCATCCACAATATTCCATTCTGTGACAATCTTCACCAACTTCATTTTATAGTTTAGCCTCAGGCTTATAAAGTGCAGAGGAAAGAGCAGCCTTTCTCCTCCAGTATATACACACAACAAAGTTTCTTTTTCTTTTTTTATGAGGAACAGCACTTCCTATTCCTAATCTCTTTGGAATTCTTTAGGAAGAGTCCAATAGTTTTTAACCAAAGCCAGAAAAGATTCCAGCTCTGCCTTGTGAAGTCATTAAACATTCTTTTCTACTGTTAATCCCTTTAGGATGGAAATAAAAATTATGGTAACTAAATAATAATGTTATATTATTTAGAAAAAAAACATCCACTCAAACAATCACCCGCTGGAACTAATACTGCAGGAGTAGAATTCTAACATACATAAAATAACTATATTTGAACCAATTCTCCAGGAATTCATGCAACTCTTGATTGCTTTATGTATGTGACATTAAGTCAACTTTAATCCCAAAATTAATTTACAAATTATTCCCGCCATCACTTTGTATTTTCTCCCCTTTTCCTTGTTATTCCCGGACTTCTTGTCAGAGCAAAATTATGTTTCGGGACTTTTCAGTTTTCTATTTCCGAGAAAGCTGAGGTTGTAGGAAATATTTGCCATTACTTGTTTTTCTACCATAGAACAATTCTACAGAATTAAGAAATATTAATTTAAAGCTACTGGATTCTTTTATGCAGGCGAATATGGCCTTTATCGTTTCTCCAGTATTATGGATTATTTGTCTTGTCTTTCTACTGTTATACTTGTCTACAGCATTTGCTACTCTTCACTAGCAGGTGATGAAGCAAAAATCCCAGCCCATCAGTAGTGTTTTATGTTAGTTTCAGCCATTTCCAATTTCAGTAGATGTATCCCGAGCTTTTTTTTCTTGGTCTTATTCTATTTTGCTTATATATCCTTCCTCTTGGTTGTCTATACTCACAATTTGGCTTTATAATCTGTATCTATGCTGATACTGTAATACCCAAGTTTATGACTTTGCTTATTTATTTGACTAAAAATGAGGATGTGTATTTCTTAGCCATTCTGTCACGGATTACTGCATTTTACTTAAAACTGATTACGGTAAGACCCAAGATCCTGGTATTACAACAAGACTGTCCCTTCTATTCCTTTCCTCATCTTCCCTATTTCAGTGGTATGTGGAGGTCCAGTGTCAGCAAGGGATCCATTTTGGTTTCGTTTGATTGGTTGGTTTTAATAATTTCTTGAAAAAGACTTGTAATGCTGAGCTTTAAGGAAGTTTGGAAGAAACAGTGCTGCTTTAACAGACAGCTAAATGCAGTGGAATGGGACAACGTGCCACAGTGAATTTGCTGTGGCCAACCTGTCATGGCCAACTCATCGTGGCTAACGCACCATGAGACAATTTGCTACAGCCAACTTGCCATGGGACAACTTGCTGCGGGACAATTTAACAAATTCTATTTATTTTTTTAAAATAAATAAAAATTATTTTAATTTTTGCCAATCACATTTTATTCTTTTGTAAGCTTTCTTTAATTATTCTTTTTCACAGTTCCTTTGATATTAGGGTAACTCTTGTCCCACAATGAGTTGGCTCTGGCAAGTTGTTCCGCAGCGGGTTGGCCATGGCAAGTTGGCCATAGTGCATTAGCCACAGATTTGATTTGATTTTGATTTTTGATTTTATTAGTATTTATAGGCCGCCCTTTTCCCTGAGGGGACTCAGGGCGGCTTACATAAAATAAGGAAGGGAGGGTACAGACAATGACGTATAGAACAATACATAATTTTA